CACACACACACACACACACACACACACACACACACACACAGCTCTGGGAACAGTAAATTCTATTTGTATTTGTGCTGGAGTGACTGTTTCCCTGATCCAACGTCACAGTTTGATCTGGTTCATGTGAACATGAACACATTGTCATGTCTGGATGAGCGGCTGACGGTGAAGGGAGGGGCCGCCTGAGAGCAGCGAGTCCCAGCTGTCGCCCCTCAAACGCTCGGAGGGAGGGTGGGGCCTCTTCACCCTCAAACACACAAAGACTTTGTCAAAAGAGGAAAAAGAAGAAGAAAAAGCAGCAATGAACGTTAATGAAATATCACGGGACAGTTCCGATTATTTTTCTTTCAGTGGTCCCATTAGTTAATAATGATGTATTTAAGATTTGGACAAGTTCTTTTACAGAAGTAACTTAGCGGAATATTTCTTACATTAGCTCAGACTGATGACAACCTCTTCAAAACTGCCTGTGGGGCCACTTACTGAGCAGTTCGATTATTTCAGCAATTAGTGCATGAATCCTTTAGTTGATTAATGGGATATACATATTAAATACATTTATATAATTGCTTAATTTTTTAAACAAAATTGCATACTTTATATTGTTCTTTGAATTATATTTCAACATGTTATACTCTCAACTACCCATAAATTGTTAAAGGAATGTAGTGCTGTGGTTGTTTTGTCTCTTTGTAGTAATTCTCATCTTTAGTTTTTCGGTTTTAAATTGTTTTGTTGTGGCTTTGTAGTAATTCAGCACCTTTTTCGTTTTACTGCACATTCATTTATCAACGTATTGTTTTATATTGTTGTCTGTGCTTGATCCATTGTACAGCTTTCATTTAAGGTCTTTCTATAATTTATGACATTGTTTTTGCACCAATGAACAGTCAACAGCAGCATGTGGCCCCCCGTCACCTGGGGCTCCTGGACAGTGGTATCCAAGACGACCACTTGTCATTCATCGGAGGTTAAACTTCATCAAACCTGAGGATGATGGGAGGATAACTTTTTCTTCACTGTGACTTGTCAATGGATTTAAAATAATGTCATTAAAGACACAAGTTAAACGTGGATGTGTGTTTGTATGATGTGAGTTTGAATGTGTGACGTGAATCAGCCATGACAATAAAATCAATGAATTTCAATTTCACTGACAAAAGACAGAGAGAGAGAGAGAGGATAGAGCAAGGTAGACAAAGAGCTGGAGAGAGAGAGATAGACAGGGAGGGAGAGAGAGACAGGGAGGGGGGGAGAGAGGGAGTGAGAGAGAGAGGTAGAGAGAGACAGGGAGGGGGAGAGAGAGAGAGAGAAAGAAAGAGGGAGAGAGAGAGATAGACAGGGAGGGAGACAGAGAGAGGGAGGTAGAGAGAGAGAGAGGGAGGACGTTGTCATCACGCACAGAGGGGGGTGGGGGGTTGAACCGGTCTCTGCAGCAGCGGCCATGCTTCTCTCCTCCTTCTGTCTCCTCCGTGTGTCCCGCTCCTCCTCCGGTTCATCCCGCCTGCAGCCGCTGCTTCCCCGCATCCCGGGTTAGAGAAGCCGGCTCGGCTCGGTGGGAGCGGCTCGGTCCGCCTGGAGCCGCCGGATCCTCGGGAACAGACCGGAACAGGCACCGGGGGAAGAGGAGAAAGCCTCCATAGCAACAAACCGGTTTCACGGCATTATTGGTAGGTGCCTCCCTGTGCGTGCGTGCGTGCGTGCGTGCGTGCGTGTGTGTGTGTGTGTGTGTGTGTGTGTGTTTGCACAGCCTATTGGTGGATAAAGTCAGTTCATGCATCAGTTGAATTCCCAGGTTTTATTAATGTATCTCCATCCACACCCTCACACTTGGGCTTTTGGCTCCAGATCCTTTAAATGTGACTGAAAATCAATGGACCTGATATTTTCTCTCTGGGGTCTCACAGGAAATTTAATTTCACTAAAACATCTTGAATATAATTCACCTGTGACCTCTGCATGTTTTATTCATCAGGATTTTAGGAAAACTGTGCGTTTAAATGAAGCTGAGGCACTGAGGGTTATTAAAGCTCAGTCTGTGTGTGATGGTGCTGGAAGTCAAACCTTACGTGAATGCAGTCCTGTCGTCGGTTTCCTTAAAGCTGCACCTGGAGGAAGGACCTGCAGCTGCTGCTCAGGGTGATTGGAAGATCTGTCTCTTACTAAACCATGTGACTGCCATCTGTTTTTTTCACCAGTGATGGAGGGATGCTAAGGAACCGGACTACTCCTCTGCAAGACTGCTGGGACTCAACATGCTGGTTCAAGGTCTTTACGCCAATACAACGGGTTTGAAGCCAGAACAGTGAGGTCATAGCAAGGTTATTACGAGGGCTTGACCTTATCACAAAGTTGACCTCTGGTGGGAAAACTGTGGACCAGGAAAAACTTCCAGTGGATGAGTAGAGTCCATCCCGATCAATCATCGGACATTTGTGGATTAGTGCATCAAAGAAGTACCTGAATTCTACGATTATTTAAATACAGAAGGGTCTGACGGTATTACATAAGTTGTGTTTGTAGCATAAAATGAAGTTTGAGTAGCGTAACACTGGATTTACAACAGGATTAACTGATATAGATCTGGGATCTTATTTGGATTACAGAGACTTCAATCAATTAAAACTACAGCCAGGACCAGCACCAGGAAACCAAAAAGCACACCAAGGTTCTGGGCTGACCCATCTTTGTACTGGTTCTTCAGACGGGTCATCTGGACTACATGTAGGACAGTAGTGGAATTACAGACATTTTACCAGGACAACAGATTAGAGAACAAGCTAAAGACAAGTCGTTTCTGCTAGAAGAAGCTAGACACCTGACGACCAGGATCAAACTCACGTTTACCCTCGTTGGACGATGAACCTCATGTAGCAGGAAATCCACAAGACGTTTCAACGCTATAGAACCATTATTCAGAATGTCTCTGAGCAAGACCCTCGAGCTGGAGCACTTTGAGGAACGGGACAAGGTTCGCCGGGGACGCTCCACCCGGGCCAAGAGAGATGAGTCTACAAGCAGCGCTGGTGGTGGGGGATCTGGCCCCAGCTCCAGGGGCAGCAGCCTGGTTCCTAGCCCAGCCCACAGCGCCAACTGCAGCTATTACCGGACCCGAACCCTGCAGGCGCTCACCTCGGAGAAAAGGGCCAAAAAGGTCAGGTTCTACCGCAACGGAGACCGGTACTTTAAGGGTCTGGTGTACGCCGTTTCCAGTGATCGGTTTCGCTCCTACGATGCGCTGCTGATGGAGTTGACGCGCTCATTGTCGGACAACCTGCATTTGCCACAAGGCGTGCGCACAATCTACACTATAGACGGCAGCAAGAAGATCACCAGTATGGACGAGCTGGTGGAAGGTAAGATGCACAACTCTCAGATCATCGACTCAAGAGTCAACACTTCAGGCTGATACTTCAACTCACCATGTTCCTCCATTTCCATCTATTTCTCTATTTCCATCACAGTCAATCGTCTAATAATTCCAGATATCTTTGTGTGTCTGTGCCGCACATATCTTGAGAACCGTTCATCACACTTGTCATGTGTATTGTTTAAGGCCTAGGGATACGTTCAATATTAATAAACTTTGACTGAGCAGGCGACCAGTGCTCTGGGACTCGTAGGTGACACTATAGATCACGACAACGACAGCTGTTCAGTCGAGCTTCACTAGACTTTCAATAAATAAGTGATCAGCTCTTTGTGCAGCAGCAGGTCTTCACTTCAGGTTCTGTGGACTGAGTCCAGCAGCAGGACTCTATTTACCGCAGCTCAGTTAAAGTTACGAATTGAAACGTTTTTCTAGCAAGATTATTTTGGACACAAAGTAAAGTTTCAGAATCTTTCTTTTCATGATGACGGAAAATCATTTTTTCTTTCTTTGTAATTACTGAAGTAAACCAAATGATCTCATACGTATAAATTGACTTTTTATTCGGTCTTACTCTATTGTAACATGACGCAAGTGCCACTTATCAGACTGTCACTCTATTGATCGATCAGTCCTCTGGTCTGTCCTCTTTAACGTCCTCACTGTCTCTTTCCTCTGTGTCTGTGGAACACACTTGAATTATTTATCTCTGTGTACATCAACGGCAGAATGATTAGTGCATAATCAATACCGAGACAATCTAAACACTAACCCGGGACCCAAACATCCGACCGACCATCAGACACAGATAATTCATCATCACCTCATGAGGTTTCGTTTCGTTAAAATAACCACAACAAAAACATCTATCCACTTAAACCCTGAAGGTTTGGAAAACTTTTAGAGCTTAAGATCTAAAGCAGGAAATGATATTACTTTGAAATCTCTGGCGTCCGGTGCGTCTTCACTTCCTCTCTTGTCTGAAGTCGTTCAGCCTGAAACAAACCAGAGGCTGAGTAACATCCTGGATCATCAGTATTGATCTGGGACTGGTTGTAATGTTGGCTAATGAGCGTTAGAGGCAGGAAGCTGTTCAGCCAGAGACATTCTGAAAGATGCATCACTAAGCCTTCAGTGGAATAAACAAACAGAGCGGGGGCACTACGACGTAAAGCTGCGAGTCGAAGGTGTTCAACTCCTCTCTGTGCCTACGAGGAAAAAACATGGAAGCTTTTGTTTGGCTGCTTTCCAGCAACAAAAACTTAAAACTGAAAAAAATAACTGATGTTAATAGATTGTGACCATAGAGTCTGAATAAAGATGGACGACACCGCTCCACCCCCGCTGAAAAAGACATGAAGCCAAGATATCGCAATTAATATTTTTTAGTCTGGTCCGTGACCCATCTATGAACATGGAGGAGGCAGGGTTTGTAACCAGCACTGCAGCCGACCAAAAGACGACGATCAAGATGCTTTGGCTTTTTAAAATTTTATTTTTGGAGCTGTCGTCTCGTGATGAGATGGACAGAAGCTGTTCTTTGTTGTTTTTCTGTATTTGAATAAAAAAATCCAGAGCAGCTGGTTTGAATGGCAAAGTGAAATGTCCACATTTGGAAGGAGACGAACGGGAAGGTCACACACACAAAGAGAGAGAGAGAGAGAGAGAGAGAGGGAGAGAGAGATATGCAGAGTCTGTGAACGTGCAAGAGAGGAAAAGGTGAGGGATGCAGGTGCAGTGTGAAAAAGAGGGAGTAAAGGTGTGGGACATGTAGAGCGAGGCAGAGTGAGACTACAGGAGAGAGACTCAGACGGAGCCATTTTTAACCATATAAGGCAAAACTGTCGTCTGCT